GTACACATTAAACTAATTATTACACCATTAAATCTAACAGAAATTGTTTAAAAATGTAGTATAAACTATCCAGATATTTTCTATTAAAATGTATACATTTTTACTATTCATTAAATTTGTCTTTATTTTTCATTTCTATTGATACAATTTTGCTATGTTCTTTTTCTTTTCCTGTCTCTCCTCCCCCTAAGATTTTTCTAAGGTTATTCATTTTCCTTAATTTTAATTTATTTTGCTGAAATACATTTAGCATGAATTGTATTTTCAACATTAGTTAACCTTTATTCACTCAAGCAAGTTAATTGTCCTGCTTATGTTCCTTTTGCTGCATTGACCGTATGCACTATGCCTTTCTTTTTGTGGGTTTAAGTTTAGTTTAACTGAGCATTTAATATTTATGATCCATTCATCCATGCATTATCTATACACCCTTGTCACTTAGTGGGACTGGGAGGGTTGCTGGTGCCTATGTCCAGCTAACGTTCCGGGTGAGAGGCAGGGTACACGCTGGACAGGTCCCCAGTCTGTCGCAGATATTTAATGATATCCCTTATAATTTTCAACATTAACCTGCTTAGATTGTTAAACTTGAAACAATCTACATTTATCTACATTGATAATCATATTCAATTTTATGTTTATCAAAGTTTGCATGTTGTATTAAAATAATACTGTTTCGGCAAATTCTACACTTTATATCTTAGCACCACAAAGAGTATTCAATGAGAAAGAACTAAATAAACAAGACAATAATATACTGCAAAATTGTAATAATCGGTACTCACCATTAGGGTGGCCAACATGGCAAAAGCGGTGGTAAAATCATCCCAGGAGATGGGCAGCTTCGAGCTGAGGCTGGTGAACTCCAGGACCAGAATGATGAGGGTGACAGAGAAACAGAAGCACCAAGAGAACATGCACCATGCCCAAAATGAGACCCCTATATGGCCCACAGATGCAACCAAGCTGAAAGTGACGCACGTGAAAACGACTGCCAGTATCCTCAAAATACCCACAGGTACCGTAAGCGTCTTAACATCCAGCGTAACCATCCTGACTGTGATACTGCCGTCGGCCTGCTGTTCTGTCGGCTTTGAAACTCACAGCAGTTCTGCTTTAATAGGTACAAAATAACATTTGCTTATCAGTTCTTCCCCTTCAAATAAAAAAATTGTTTCAACACACCAATGGGAACTACACCCTGTCATATATATGTATAAAACAAACAAACTTTAAAGCCACAGTGAGAGATAAAGAATAACTTTCTAACCCACATGCACTTTGAATCTGACAAATCATTTTAAGCCATAATGGCATTTACACCTTTGCAGTAGAGCAGATAAAGATGAAGAGGCGATAATGTGCAGAGGTGAAAAACTAAGGAAGCTGAAAAATTAATCAGTTGATAAATTCAAGTTGCAAACTGAGATGATTCATAATTTCTTAAAAGCAACATTGCATTTCTCAACAAAGGTTAGTCATTTGGAAACAAATATTATTAGCTTAGTCTGCAAATATTAAGCCACAGGAAGAATACCAAAGTCCAAATCTAAAGGTTTGACTATAAAAGTCAGATCCATATCTTTGAAATGTGAATTTTAGCTTTCTAATTGAATTAGTGAAATAAATTTGAATTATTTCATTTATTATTACACACCTTATGTAAACATGTTTTAAAAGATTTAAACATCAACAACAATTTAAAATGTGACTAAAAACAATTATTTATTAGGTTGGTTTGAATGAAATAACCTTTAAGTCTAAAATAATGCTTTCATTTTATTCCTAATTATACATGTGTGTATTTGTCTAAAGGAGAAAAAAATCAGTAGGTCAGAGAATTCTGATTTATCTAAATTTTGTCTTCATAAAAAGTTGACAGAAATGTGTTTTTATATATAAAAGTATCTCGTCCAATAAATGTGTCATGCATTTTTGTTGCTAGCAAACACAACGCTGTTAAATATATAAAATGATCCATGAATAATTTTTCAACACTGATGACTATTTCTTGAAACTGGATAATTTCTTCTAAGTAGTAGCTGATGTCTCATGACTGCAGAGTGCTAATTAATGGCAGCATTTGGCCTCCATCCTCCATATTCCAAAGAGCATAGTCTATCTCCATTACTTATGATTACCTTGGATAAGTTGTTCTCTGTTGTGTTATTCTCAAGGGATATAAAAGTGCCCTGTTCCACATTTAAGATTAGATCAATGTGGGACAAATGATGAGCAAATATTGGACTATAACTCACTGAAATGCATTTGTTGAAACTGGAAATTTGAATTGTCCAGCATGATTTAAATATTTTTTTCAGAACTGCTGGCCAGATATTAACTTAAAGTCAATCAAATTCAAGCTAAATGTAATTATATAGTTGGATAAAATATGCACCTGCACCAAAGCTACCATAACAGTCTGTGCACATCAATCTGAGATGACACAAGTGGATACTAGCTGACAGAATGATTTAGGGCTTAGTAAAGCTAATGCACACAAAGAGGAACTAAATGTGGAACTGTATGTTTTATTCACATTTGCTCTGTCATGTTGTCGACGTCAATGCTTTACCAGCTGGAACAGAGTCTGTTAGCACCTCATGGGTTCATTTGGCAACAAAGAAAAATACAATAACAGAAGTTCCTAAACAGGATCGGTAAAGTGTGAAACTGCATTGTTCTAATTTACAACAAATATCAACATGTGTTTTAGCAAAAAACGGTTTTAAATCATTTCCCCTGATTTTGCTCTTGTGGAGTATCTAATGAATAACACAATGTATTTGTGAGTCATCCGTTTGACTGCGGCAAAGGCTTGTCTCTCAACTACCTGAGAGGATAACAGTTCAATGCAGAGTTTATAATTGAGGAATATAAATGGAAAGCAATCAAATTAAAAACTTCAAAAAACAAATAACATATCAAATCAAGTCAACTCTATTTGTAGGGAATAGCATATCCAGCAACAAGGCGGCCACTTTATGTGATAATTCTATAACCAGTTATGTTGACAATTGCAAATAAGCTGAAAACATTCAAATTTGCCAAATGCCATAATCAAAATCATCAAGTAATAGGGTTAGGTGTTAAATTATTTTTTAAGTTATGTTTGATATATACAGGGTTTTTGTAACAACTGTAGGTAATAACATACTTGATTGTGCTATAAAATGGCACCACATGCCAGGAAAAAATATATTATCCTTCAGACCCCCTTTAAGTATTTTGATGCAAAGTCATTTAGTGATTTCTGTACCAACAAAAGCATTTTAAAGTATTTTCTCTGAGCTACGCAGAGCTAGTGTAGAGGCTGCAAAACTTGAGCATAGGTTAAAATTCTGAAGACAATTATTATGTTTTTTTTTTCTTTTTCCTTGAACCATCTCAGTCAGAATCCATCATGGCTTGTAGTTTTCGCACCGTCTGTCATCAGAGAAACAAAAACAATTTCAGACTAGATAAAAGATTTTAAACTCAATTAACCTCTTTCAAAAGTGGATTCTCCAACATAGTGTTTTATAAAAGTATATGAATCATATCAAAATAGTCATTTGTGTTGATCAGGAGCTTAGTGTAGCTTAGTGTGATATCTTTCCACAGTTTTGAGGACATAAAAATAGTTTTTATTTTTTGCATGCTTTATGCAAAAACACACTCTTCCAGTTTATAGTAAAACACTGACTTTCCCCCAGTGAGCAAACTGGGAAAGAAAGGCTGTGATTGGACTTGATCTGAATGAGTCACTGAGCAGATAAATCTTTGCTTGTCTTTGCCGAGCCCTCCATTAATTCACCTTTAAAAGGATCAAGAAGAGATAAGGTGGAGAGTTGGGGAAGCCAGCAATAGCCTGAGATAGTCCTTTTAAAATTACGCATGATCATATTTAATAACTTGGCATGTAATTACCAGTGACTGTATAAATGCTGAACTTTGCTTTTCTCCCTCTCCAAACAAAGCTTAACTGAACATTTTTCTGGAAATCCACATACAAATTTGAAGAACTGAAACTAAAAACAAACTGAGTCGAGCACACCCACGATGCTGAAGTACTTTCTGTTCTTTGTTCTCCCTAAAGTTTGTTTTCAGGTTTAGCTAAACCATATGGACACAATAGGGGGAAACAAAATGGCTGCCACCTGACAACTATCTCCAACAATGAAATAAACCCCCAAAACCACCCCCCAGCATGACACAGGTGGTTCAGGCCAATGAGGCCATCAGCAGTACTTCAGGAAACTCGGCCCTTTGCCACACCTTTTGCCTGCCAGGAAGGGGGAGCCAAACACCAAAGACCCAGGTAACTCAAACACAGAAAACAATATTAATACAACATAGTTGAATTTCAACCTTGCATTGTTAATATGTGTGCCCTCCATATAAACATCGTAAGGTGGTAGAAAATAATATAAGGAATACTTAAACTACAAAACAAACTAATACTTAAACTACAAAACAAACAAAAGTGAAAGCCAACCTATGATGAGGTGTGGATCTTAGCCTGTGTGGCTTGCCCATCACACAGTTTAAGCCTTGCAACACATGCACATCAGAGTTGGGTTTAAATTAACGTCATTGTGCTGTGGATTAAATCTTGTGCTTTTAATGTCACTGGACCACGCTTTATCACTGCTCTGTCTGATGGCAGCCCACCCGGTGACAAATAGCTAATTAAAAAATCAAACCTTGTATTACTGAGAAGCAGAAGATAATCTTTTTCAAGATAAAACAGGGAACAAGGTTAAGCATTAAAATGAATTCATTTCCAGGCTGATTGCATCCTCATTTCCTGTCCAACTGTGAAACCAAACCATCAAATTGCCAGCAAGTTCTGACTTTGCAGCATTTGCTGTTAAAAAGTGAAGGTTAGCATACAATAAAGCAGTAATACCTAAAGACAACTCTCTGACTGTAGCAGAGGAACCCTGAAGATACCGCTGCTGTTCCAAAAAATACACCTACAAAAACAACTACAACAACAAAAACAAGTTTGTTTGATAAAGTGGTATGATAAAAAAAAAAAATCTATTTTAACTTCATGGAAAAACATTATTATATTATGGTTTTAAAAACTGCAGTCATGCTTGAGGGACTAGAATAGCTTAAAAATGTCACAATGGAAGTAAATGACTTAAATCTAAAGCTAAAATCCCTTTGAAACCGCGTTATGGCTCACTAGTCACTCCGCTTCATCTTTTTCTTTGCGCTCTGGCTCCCCCTTCAGGCTGATGAAAAACACTGCATGTGCATTTCAATATTACTGGTATTCTCTAATTTCACAACTTTCGTACAACCGTAAAGGATCAAACCACATATTTGATATAGATTATATTAGTTTACTATCCAAGCAGACATTTTGGAGACAGTCATATGCTGACACTCTGAAGAACATTAGTAAATAGAATCTGCCCGTGTTAAAAATAAATATATAAAAATAAACAGAAATATACTACATGAGATACTATCTCATTATAATGAGAAAACTTTTTAATTTATTTTTATCAGAGTGGCAGAAACGGGCTTTTATATATATATATGCAATTCAAGTTCATTGTAACTTAATTCTGTACACATGAATGATTTTTGAACCATTTATTGTTGCATGAGGCCGAGCACAGCACAAGAATTTCATCTATATTTCAAATACACTGCTCAAAAAAATAAAGGGAACACTCAAATAACACATCCTAGATCTGAACGAATGAAATATTCTCATTGAATACTTTGTCCTGTACAAAGTTGAATGTGCTGACAACAAAATCACACAAAAATCATCAATGGAAATCAAATTTATTAACCAATGGAGGCCTGGATTTGGAGCCACACACAAAATTAAAGTGAAATGTTCCCTTTATTTTTTTGAGCAGTATATTTTGAATTCCAATAGCAATGATTTGATTTGTAACCTGTGTGTAAATACTTTTCATGATCTTCACCGCACTTAGAAACTTCAGGAAGTGAACATTATTTGTTTTGATTAAAACGTGTGGAAAGATTCAATTGATTTAGGCCACATTTACACGTGCTTCTTTCACAGTAGGAGCAAGTAACACTGTTTGAACAAACGGATGTGAAACCACAGGGGGAAGTTGGCAAGAACAAAAGCATTGTATTTATACTGCAGGTGTTTAACATAGAGGGAGTGAAAAGCTAAGTTTAAAAATAAAAACGATAGTATTCAGCTATGTTTTTGGGATCATAAAGTTTTTAATTCTATGTTATTTACTTAGATTTGGGTGACAATTCAACTAATAAAAAAATAGTTAAGAAGGCAAAAATGTTATCAAAGACAACCTTGGATTGGTAAAAAATATATATTTTGGATTATTTTCTGTGCATGTATGCATGAAAGGCTTTGAGGTTCACATGGCATTAGATCTTTTGTTCTTGCTTCATAGGAGGAGAGAAAAAAAAAAGAGAAGGGCGGAACTATAGTTTTAGGAAATGCAATCAGTTGCGTTAGATTTAGCGTCAGATGCATCAGACGGCATTAATCTGATTTAGACTGGGACTTCCTGCACTTTCTTATCGCTCAAGACCAAGAAGACTGAACAGAAGACTGTCTTTTGTTGTTGTTTTTTCTTCAAATTAACCTGTAAGTTAAAACTTATTTCATATTTACCCAATAATATTGAGCTGCTACTGTGGTGTTAATTCATTTTGGTGTTTTGATATACACTTGTATGTAAGTGCTGTAAACATAAGCCGTCTCTGCCAAACCAAAACAGGGACAGGGAGATACATATCGTGCTGAAAGAGGCTGCTTTATAAGGGCATTTATCCGGGCTGTTTATGCAAACCTAGTCTGTTTAAGCTGCTTGTCTGAGCAAGCTGGGTAAAGCTCATAACTTTCCACAGTTGTGAGTAAGCTTTCTACAGGAAACCTCTAAAACCTCCTACCAACTAAAGGACTTTTGTTCATGACTAACGCTGAGTTTCGACTTCAGCGTTTCTCCATGTTGTGAAACTTTAACGCTCTTCCCTTGTAACTTCCAGCTCCTATCATAAAGATTAAGAATCTGATGACAGTAAAGTAATAAAAGTGTTTGTGGAAACTATGGAGAGAGCACATGGAGTGGATTTCTAGATAGTATTTTGAATTTTTACCTTTAGATCTTGAAACTGAGGGTTCGAGTGACAGAAAGTTGTTGTTGAGCTAGGGACTGAAAAATGGAGTCATGAACACCTTTCTTGCAGAGACCACACCGCAACTATTACAGACACCAAATAAAGTTTATTTGAGAAGGTGCCAGAAGTGAGGTTACGGTCCAGGCAAGCACTAAAAAGAGAAGGTAAGTGGTTATTATTGTATTGCTGAGATGATTTGGTGGTAGATTTTGAGATGCAGAAGGAGGGAAATGTATCCCTGATGACTGTCATTGATCGCTTTCTGTTCTTGCCACGTTCAGGTGGCGGTGGCCTTTTCTGTGTTTAAGCAAGGAAAATATCTTTTCTCTTTACTTTTTGGACATTTATATTAGATTTATTTCTAATATGCATTCGCCTCTCGAGAGTCACCGCCATTCCTACGCAACGTATCAAATACTTTCTGTTGTGTCAATCAGTTGCATGCTGTGTGGTCAACGGTTTGAGGATGTTGGAGGTCTTTCACCCTTATTGTGATTAAAATGTTAAATGTGAAAAATGTTCCGTTTCCAACGAGGTATTTTGTTTTCACCACTCTACTGTCAGGACAGACTATAGAGTGGTGAAAACACTCTATAGGTTTCTCTTCGTCCCACCATCCCACCTTCGTCCCACCATCTTCGGCTCTGGGTGTTTTCAAACAAATTTTGTCTCAAAATATGAAACTCAAGAAGATTTTCACAAATCATGTTATGCTGAGTTTGCTTTAATTTGCTTGCTCCTCCTGTGCGCACAACATGAGGAATATTTGTTTTTATTACAGGTGAGATTTCTGAAGATGGAGAAAGGATCCCACACACAGGAATCGGCTCCACCGTACCCTGGCCCTCCCATGGATTACGGCCAGCCAGCGATGTACGCACCACCAACCTATTCCACTCAACCAGGCTTCCCCACTCAACCAGGCTTCCCCACTCAACCAGGCTTCCCCACTCAACCAGGCTTCCCCACTCAACCAGGTGTCTCCGCTCCGCCAGGCTATCCCGTTCAACAAGGCGTCTCCGCTCCACAATGTTTCCCTGCTCAACCAGGTTTCTCTGCTCAACCAGGTTTCTCTGCTGCTCCTGCTGGACAACATGGAGGTAAGTGATCAGTTATTTTCTTCTGTTTAGCAGTATATTCTACATAACTTTGAACAAAGATTCTTAAAATCTTGAAAACTTTCGGCTTTAAGATGTATAGAAGCACACTGTAGTGCTTGTTGATGGAGATCTTTGTACAAATGCACATATTTTTTACTGATGGTGTTTTGAGACGATTAGTTCCTTGTTTTGCTGAACCGTTTCTGTCATCTCACAGGTGTTGCTTATGCTCCTCTACCTGTTCAACCAACAGGTGAGGCAGACTCAACCAGGAAAATGCTGCTGAATGAAATGAAAAAAAAAAAAAAAAACATTTGCTCTTGCTGTGTGCCAAAACGAAAGTGTGCAGAACTTCCTACCACAGGCCAGTTTAGCTTAGATCACGTGCCGTACTCTCATGGTAACATGTTAGGAATCTTGTAAATCTATTTTCTTCCTTAGAAAATGCAGTGGGACCGTTTTTCTCAGTGGCTTTGGTTGCATTTCTTGAATCATTTTCGACATTTGCACAACATTAAGTGCATTTCTAAAAACAATTTGTGCAAAACAGCATGGGTTACCTTCAAATTCCAGTTTCTCTCACATAATCCTGAGTTCATCTCTCAAAATTAATTGTCTGTATCATTAAACATGTCAGTGCCTCAGAATGTCAAGTACTCATTTCATTGTTAGACTAAGACAGTCAAATTCATTAGTCGTGTTGTCAGGATGGCTGTGTACTCTGGAGAGATATTCGAATGTAAACTGTGGCTAATCTATTGATGACAAGAATTGTAAATTGTAACGGTGGGAGATCAATGGCAAGAAACTGGACATGATTCATGTTTATGCTTTTGCTGTAATTTGCTGACAGACAAACTGTTGGAGTCCATTCATTTCTGTCTCTGTGCTCCACTCAGGTCCGTTAACCAGTTTCAGGACCCGACTAGAACCCCTTAGTGTAAATTACCTTGAGAAATATTGAGATTTGGTTATATATAAAAGCAGGCTTTAATACAGAAAAATTCTCAAATGTTACAAGCCATACATGTCATACAAATGGATAGAGATACAGCGTTACATTCACTGTCCAGCGCTGGGGCCACACTTAGCTCACCTTATGGATAAAACCAAGAGAGGCAAAGTTTAGCTTGTTATTCTTCTCTGCAATCTGTACCCTCCTTAAAGGGTAGTGTAATCAGTTTCAGTCTGTTTACATACGACTGACGGCAGTCACACTTAAACACTGTTATGTAAGCTGCCACCATACCCTGCAGATAAGAGATAGAGGAAAGACAGAATCCGTAACAGAACATGAGACAATCTCCTTAAGGAAAACAAGACAGAGTTGTAGGAATTACAGTGCAGTCTTCTTATGCTTTCTGTCTCCATGCTGAGAAACAATCCACTAAGGGGTGAAGAATTGAGAAGTAGGAGCTCCTCATTCCTGAGAGGAACTTCATCAGCGTCTTGTTGTGGGTTGCAAACCATATCCTGGTGTTGCAATGATGGATCCTGGAAGATGTCCTCTGCTTCTTCCTCCATTCTCCCTCCTAAATCCTCTGCCACAGTCCCACCCATCTTCCTCCTCTTCTTCTCTCTGGCTGTTGACCTGTCCAGTTCCTTGTCCTTCCATTGTCAGAAATGTAACATGGTGTTGTGTTCTCACTATATAAAGTATATACTTGCCAGTTGATGATTCATGACATGCATCTCCACGCTAGTTCAGAAAACTGGTTGATCATTGGTTGATCTAATGTTCCACACATTTATCTACGTTGAAGAAACTAATAATTCACTGAAGAAGTCGTTTTGAGAATTTGAATTTTGTCAGAAAAAATGCAGCAAAGTGGCTGAGAAAAACTGTAAGATAAATTTATGGCCTCAAAAAATGTTCACTGATGTTGCAGTGAGGATGCAGATTTCTGTGTGAATCCACTAGAGGTCAGTGCTTCTCCTTAGTATGTACAAGTTAAAAAAATTATGATCTATGAAGTCTGTAGATTTGACCTTCATCTAGGACTTGTACAGGTTTAGGGTCAGGAAAAGGGCAGCTCCAAAAACTCATGAATATCAGTAATGATTGAGCAGTCATATTTGACAACTTCTACTTGTGTACATACATAATTATGCACAGTTTGTACAAATTATTTCATGTAAATTATATAATACATCGTCTTCTACATTTTTAAATGATTTATTTTAATATTTTCTAAGCTTCTTTTTCTGCTTCTAATGAAAATAAATCCATTATCTTAGAGCAAAAGGCAAAGGACAAATTAAACCATACATATAACAACAAACTCCATAAAACAATTTGTACGTTTTTTGTTTTTAATCTCAGTGTGTTTTGTGCTTTTCAGTAACTCGCGTGGCGATATCAACTGCTCTATATGACGTTCCTGGACAGACATTTTGTCCCCACTGCCAGGAAACTGTGATCACCTCTACAGAGTCAGAAGCAGGATTGTTGACCTGGCTTGTGTGTGGAGGATTGTGCTTTGTGGGGTAAAAACCTGCTAAATACTTAACATCTTAAAGGAACACATTAAAGTCAAATTTCATTCAAATACAAATAACCACAGGTTGCTTAAAATCTTACAGAATCCAATCTCCATTTCCCCGTACAGGTGCTGGCTTTGCTGCTGTATCCCATTCTGCCTTGATTCCTGTAACGATGTGAAGCATTATTGTCCAAGATGCCAGCAGGTTCTCTACATATACAAACGGATGTGAAACTCGTCCCACAAGGAACTGGGAAAATAAGAGTTAACATTTAGGTTGTCACATGCCTTATGCTGGAAATTGTGATTTTTTTTATTTTTTTTTTGTCAAATTGTATGAAATTGTTTTTCTGCTGAAATGAAAAAAAAAAAAAAAAAGATTTACATCACAACAAAGAGACAACAACCATACATACACAGATCCATTCATAAGAGTGTCCATTTGACCTAACAATCATATTTTTGGACTATGGGAGGAAGTCGGGAGTACCCAGAAAGAACAAACCTGTGCTTTGAGGTGAAAATGTAAACTCCATGCAGACAGACCCATTGCAGGGATTCAAACTTTGGACTTTCTTGCTGTAAGGCAATAGTAATACCAACTGTATTGTGCAGCCATTATCCCAATAATGTCTTCAAATAATGGTTGTGTGCAAACCTATTGCCAGCAATGTAAAAATGATTTAAATACCTGAATTTTCCCGCTCTGGGAATATATTCCATAATATTCTAAATGTAAAAAGATTATTCTATTTGTTTCAATGGCCTGAGAAAACCTTTGATTTCTCACCAATATTTTCACTTTCTGTCTATGTATTTACGATTATTAATAATCCTGTTCATGTCATGACTAAATAGAGCAGCAAATGCAAAGAAAAAAAAACATAAGATTTCCTTGTTTGCATTTACAGTAATGGAATATTGTGAATGTGAAGGTAACAATCTGATGTTGCTGATCAAACACACTTAATAACAGCTTAAAGTGGTGAAGGGTGATTATTTGAGCTGGTTTTGCAGATCTGAAAAGCCCAAAAGTCCTCAAGAGTCAAATGTAAAATGACTCGTTTAAAAGCTTTAACAGGATCAGGAGGATTAACCTATGGAAAGCAGCAATCTACAGCACAATCTCTGAATAGAAAGTGGTTAGCATAATGTTTCATCTGAATTTTGAAGACCCTCAGACTCTGTATTTCAAGGTCATGACTGGAAAATCGTATTTTAAGACATGAATAATTTCTCCTCACTTAGTATTTATAGTTGTCACAGAGAAAGAGCAATAAGTTAGAATTT